ACATTCCATCCTCTCAGGGCTCTCTGAGCTATTCATTATCAAGTCATCAACAAGTCCTTTATTGCATCGCACCGTCTTTATAAAGCTATAAAATGTCCCGTGAGTGGTAATAAGGAATTGTTTCAGAGGAATTTTATTAGTAACGAAATTTGGTAAGGTGGCTTTTTTTTTTTTTTTTTTTTTTTTTTTTTTTTTTTGGTACTGGGGATCAAACTTAATATCTTGCACTTATAAGACAGGCAGCAGAATCTCTGAGTTAAATCTCCGGCCTGCTGAGATGGCTTCTTATTCACCACATTCTAAATTAAACAGCTTATTTTAAAAAGTAAATATGGCTAATATTTACCAACTGCAAATGTAGCCCTCACTTAAAACTGAATCACCTGTATGTGGAGTGAGCCAGCTCGCATGGGTACTCTATGCCAGTGCAGGGCACATAAGGACCCCAACAGGACATGAGGCCAGCAGTGAGCAGCTCTCCTGGGCAATTCTCCTACAGAGAAAGGTAAAATCTTCACACTGGTCATTTGAGATATAAATGAAAACCATGCTGAGATTCCACCCCACTCCAGAAAGAATGGCTGCTATCAAGAAATCAACCAATAACAAATGCTGGAGGGTTATGGGGTTAAAAACAACCCTTTTCTACTCTACTATTGGTGGGAGTGTAGAGTGGTGCAACCACTGTGGAAACCAGTATGGAGATTCCTCAAACAACTAGGATTAGAGGTCCCACTTGACCCAGCTATTCCCCATCTGGGTATCTTCCCAACAGAATTAAAAGAACCAGGGCTGGAGATTTAGGTCAGTGGTGCAAGGTCTTGAGTTCAATCCCCAGTACCCCCCCAAAAAGTCATACCACAGCAATATATGTGCACCCATGTTTACAGTGGCACAGTTTATAACAGCTAAAAATTGGAAACAGCCCAATTGCCCATCAACTGGAGACTGGATAAATATGTAAGTCTTAAATAAAATGGAGTACTACTCAGCCATAAACAATGAGAAACTAGAGACATTTACAGCTAAATGACGCATACTGAGGCCATATTCTTAAGTGAAATAGGACACACATGTAAATACTGAATAGTTTCTCTGGTGTGAGAAACTGAAAGTGTAAACAAGGACCAAAAGGTATAATATTTAAGATGAAAATAGGAAGAAAAGGTCCGAAGGGGAAGGGGACGTAAGAAGGGAAAAGAATAAATATGAGAAAGGGGAAAAAATGGAAACAAAGTCTACATAAATAAGGAGGGGCGGAAGAGTTGAAGGGAGGGCATGGGAATGGGGAAAAAGTGAGAATCAAGATAAATCAAGTAAAGGTACAAATCCCCAATGATGAATGTCATCATATTGTGTACCTAAAATGTACCAATAAACTTAATGAAAAAAGCAAAAAAAACTTCACTCCCAGGTTCACAGACGCTGCTTCCCAAGCCTATTTCCCGTTCTCATACTTTAGTTTTTCTCCTCTCCTTCAGGGCATAAAGTAACTATGTTCAAATCCTTCAGGGGCCAGGGATGTAGCTCAGCAGCACGGCCCCAAAGGGCAAGCATAAGGTCCTGAGTTCAGTTCTTGCTACCAAAAATAAAAACCTTTTAATTCTTTCAAGAATATCTCAGACCGGGGTGCAGCAAGTGCAAGGTCCTGAGTTCAATCTCTGGTACCAAAAAAACAAAAACAAACAAAAAAAGTTTCATGGGTTCCTATTGCCCTGAGTGCAGGAATAACAGTGAATGAGGTAAAAGTCTCGGTGCTTTCATGGGGCTCAAATTCTGAAATGGACAACTGCAAGTAAATAAACACAAAGGTAACAGCCAACAGCAACAAGTGCTTTTTTTTTTAAAAAAAAAAAAAAAAAAAACAAGGTTAAATTGATGCTGCTGTGGAGAGTCTTTGGTTGGAAGTAGCTAAGGACATATGAACCATGACTGGATGACTACAAGGCACCAGTCTGGAAAAGACCTGGGAGCAGAGTATTCCAGACAGGAGAAACAATAAGCCCAAGGCGGTGTTGCACATTTGTAATCCCAGAGCTCTGGGAGGCTGAGGCAAGATGATCCAAGTTCCAGCCCAGCCTGGGCAACCTACCAAGACCCTGTCTCAAAAAAGAAAAAGAAGAGAGAAACCATAAAGAGATCAGCACAGCTGAAGTGGATGAGAAAGTTCGGCAAGAAAAGGAAACCTGGACAGGGTCCGATCACGTGGGGCCCTATTAGGTCCAAGGAAGAAATCTGGAGTTTATTAAAATTCAATAGGACACCTCATTAGATAACAGTGTTGGTTTTGGTCACTGCCAAATCTACAACACCTATAAACAATGCCTGGCACATCCCAGACATCCAGCATGTTTACTAGATGAAAATACAGCTGCAATGAAATACAGCTGCCATCTTGGTCACATTTTCTCTAGGCTGTTATTTTAACCATTCCCTTTTAGTATCATTTTGTTTCTCCCAATTGTTTTGGTACCAGGGATTGGATTCGGCTCCTTGTACTTGCAAGGCAGGTGGCAGAACCACTGAGCTAAATCCCTGGCCCTCCCAATTTATAACATGTGATATTAAGCAAACATCCTTTAAAAATGAGCACGCAGTAGCACAAGGTCCCAAATTGGATCCCCATACCAAAACAAGAGTATGTTGTCCAAGCATGATGGTGCACACCCATAATCACAGCATTCAGGAGGCTGAGGCAGGAGGATTGCTTTGAGTTCAAGGCCAGCCTGGGCTACATATAAGACCTTGTCTCAAAAAAGTCAAATATGTAAGTAAATAAATATTAATACCATATGCCCAAAGCAGGTGATATGTACATATTGTTACAACTCTCACCCTAAAACAAAGTAAACACTAGCTTACATAATTATGCATAAACACTCTAGCAAAAAGATGAGAAAGTTACACTTGATTTGTACTTTATTCCTTACAACTATTTCATCTTCCACCTGAAAAGCCTTCTGGGGGATCCAGGACTCCCGGAATACCAAGAAAAAGAAGTGGGAGGCAGTTAATCAGGTTACCTCAAAGAGTGGGCAAAAAGCTGCTGATGTAATGTACACACAAAAGTACCCAAAACCTCATTTTAAACTATAAGCAAGAATTCCTTTAACAAAAATTTAAAAGCAACAGGACTGGAATGAGGAAGACAGAGAGCGAAGTCAAAGGCGTGAGATTCAAAGGGCAGATGACGTGGCCTCAAAAGAAACCCTGAGGAAAGCACATGCATTACTCTGCCCTACAACAAAGAACAGGGAACAAACATAGGCATCAGCTGTGACCCACTGAGATCCAATCCAACAGCAGAGGAGGAAACTGTAAAACACAGCTTCTCGTCAGCCCGTGAGGTTCTCTCTAGTGCCCTGCCAGACAACCCCACAAGTCTATGCTCAGTAAAATTTAGGACTTCTAGAAACAGAAAATGAAAAAAAAAAAAATCAAAACAAAACTAAAATAAATTTTTAAAAATCAGATCTTTAGCAATTCTTATTTCAGAAGAATGAAGCTAGAAAACAGCTCAATATCAGCTAGCAGGGTTTTTAACAACATGAAGTCTTCTCAAGTTCGAGCCATACAAAGTCAGAGCTTTTTGCTAACAGCAATGGGGAAGCAGGAGTTAGCACAAAGAATTGCTTCCCCCTGCACAAATACCACCCCACAAGGAGCACAAGAACCAGGCAGAGGAGAACAAACTGCAACATCACAACCAGGCCTTTCGCCTTGGAGATTCTAAGCCACTCATGAGAGAGTTGCAAAAAACAGAAGAGATCTAATTACTAGAAAAGGCATACTTGTACATTGATTTTTGTTTTGTTTGCAGTAGTAGAAATTAAATCTAGGGCCTCAAAAATGCTAGGAAAGCACACAACCTGAGCTACATTCCCCAGCCCCCCATTTTTTTTTGGCTTTTTGAGACAGGGTCTTGCTATGTAGTTCAAGCTAGTGCTATGCAGCCAAGGCTGGTTTCACATTCACGGTGATCCCCCCGCCTCAGCCTCCCAACTGCTGGGTTTATAGGTGTGTGTGCCACCATGCCCAGCTAAAAAATTTATTTATTTATTTATTTGTTTGTTTGGTACTGGGGATTGAACTCAGGACCTTGCGCTTGCAAGGCAGGCAGTGGAACCACCGAGCTAAATCACCAGTCCAAAATTTTTTTTATTTTGAAACAGGATCTCAGGCTGGCCTCAAACTTGCTAACCACCTACCTCAACCTCCTGACTAGGATTACAGGCTTGTACCACACTGGATTGCACAGTTTGTGAGAACATAAATGGTAAAAGTTTTTGGGCTGCAATTTGGTAATACCTACTGTACCTTTAAATATTTATGCTCTCTGGCTCAAATCTCATTTCCAGGGGAAAAAACAGGAGCAATCTAAATGTCTACAATTAAATTAAGCTTAGTACAAACAGTGCAATATCAAATAGCAGCTTTTTTTTAAATAAAACAAATGCATTTCCTCACAAAGAAATAAAAATCAGCTGGGCGTGGTGGCTCACGCCTGTAATCCCAGCACTCGGGAGGCTGAGGCAGGAGGATCACTATGAGTTTGAGACCAGCCTGCTGGACTACATAGTGAGTTCCAAGTCAGTCTCAACTACATAGTGAGACCCTGTCTCAAAAAAAAAAAAAACAAAAAAACAAAAACACAATAAACAAAAATCAACCAGGCATGGGGCACATACCTGATGGAACCCACAGCCTTTCTCACGCTAAGCCACTGAGCTACACTTCCAGTCAAATAATTTATTTTTAATTACAAAAATTCCAGTGTGTCTCAGCAGCTGGGTGATTGCCTAGCATGTGCAAAGCCCAGTTCAACTCCCAACACTGCAAAAGAACAAAAGTCTAAATCAAACATTCCAGATATCTAATTCATTAACTTTACAGCCAAAATGTTTTCTATTTCTAAATCAAAGATTCCTATTTAAAAGAGCTGCATATTAAAGTTAAGGCACAGCTAGGAAGGCAGTAAGACTTGCACAAGGCTGACTCACCAGCACTCGGTCTCCGATTTTGAGTTCGCGCTCTCCTTTCTTGACAGAGCCAGCCTCTGAAAGGTTGGAGACTGACTCACTGGCGGTTTTCGTAAGGTTGCTGATCTGAGGTGTGGCTGTAGGCTCCTTGGCTGTTGGCTGGGAGGACTTCTGGGGAAGGTGTGCAGGGGCGGCCAGGGAGGAGCCTGTGGCGCTGGCGGCAGAAGCGGAGAGAGGTGAAGCAGCTCTGGACGCGTGAGCCGTCTGCAGGCCGTTGGCTTCATCTTCTGCTTGCACCTTCCGTGATAACTTCGAAGGGCGGGTAAATATGCCCTTCAGGGGTTCACACTGGAAATATCGAACTCCTGCCACCGAACCGTCATTCTTGCCTATGGGTTCATCTAAAACAATCCCAGCCCACTGGCCTGGTGCAAACTGGGTTTCCCCAAGGAACTGGATATATCCAGGCTTGTTTCCATTCACCCACACACGCTCCCCAACTCGAAAGTCATCAACAAATTCCTCTTGAGTCTCAGAGGATGGAGTGCTTGAGGCTTTTTCACTGGCTATTGCTTTTTCTACTGGAGATGCAACTGAAAACAAGAACAGAAAGGTTAATTTCATATTCAAGAAGCTAATCTCTAACAAAGTAAAAAAAAACTAGAAAAAGCACAGCAATACTAGCCCATAACTCTTACAGAGGAGTTCTAATTCTTTTTAAGCAAAGAGGAAGAGTATTTGATCCATCACTACCATTTTCAATACTGCTAAAACTCAATGAGGTGGGGGTGAGTTTTATCCCATTTTTAGTTAGGACCAGGGATTGAACTCATGTCCTTGTGCTTGCAAGGCAGGTGGCAGCACCCCGAGCTAAATCCCCAGCCTATCCCATTTTTAGTTAAGACTAAAAGCAGTAGCCGGGCATGCTGGCTCATGGATGTAATCCCAGCATTTAGGAGGGTGAGGCAAGAGGATCATCTCATGTTCGAGGCCAGCCTGGGCTACATAATGAGTTCAAGGCCAGCCTGAACTACAGAGTAAGACCCTGTCTCAAAAAAAAAAGACTAGAAGCCATAATGGGGGTTGATACAGTAGGATCATGAGTTTGAGGCCAGCCTGATATTCATTTGACTTGTTTGGACTTCTGACCAAGGTGTGCTTTTCAGACTTGTGACCCACCACTTGTACTTAGAACCCATGTTTTTTTTTTTTTTTGTACAGCCCTGTATACCTTATTTATAGAGTCTTAAAGTCTTTCTTTTATATGGTACACTTTGTTTATACATTACTTTAATTTTTGCTCATTGTACTGTATAGTATAGTAGTCTCATGTTCTGTTGAACCCATTTTTTTTTTTTTTTTTGTACAGCCCTGTATACCTTATTTATAGAGTCTTAAAGTCTTTCTTTTATATGGTACACTTTGTTTATACATTACTTTAATTTTTGCTCATTGTACTGTATAGTATAGTAGTCTCATGTTCTGTTATACATTATAGTACTGCATCTAAGAGTTATACGTGGAGTTTCCTTTGACCATTTCTTCTTTTTTTTGGTACAGGGATCAAACTCGAGACCTTGTACTTGAAAGGCAGGTAGGCAGAACCACTGAGCTAAATCCCAGGCCCTCCTCTGACCATTTCTTTGTTCTGAATATTGTACTGTATATACTATATACAATTCCTTATTTAGTGGCCAATCCATTTAATGACATAGCAACAGGAACAGAATTCAGTCATTAAGGAATGTCTACCCCAAAAAAGAGGAATGTGTGTACAGTGAGTTCAAGGGTAGCTTGGACCACATAACAAGACCCTATCTCAAAAAAAACCAAGGGAACTAAGTCAAAGCAAGGAAAAGCTTAGTCCTTTACCTAGATGTGTATTTACAGGTCTGATATTCTCATTCCATCCTCTACCCTGGATCATCATGAGCAGATACCCACAGATCCACTGAGATGAGCACTATTCTTATATTGGAATAGTTAATTAAAGCAGATAAAACTGACACCATTTAATCACAGAGACTTGTGATTAAGCTTGATGACACAGAGGATGCAGCATTGTGACCCTGGCCAACATTATTGCAGAGTACATGAACTCTACTCCTTTGATGGTAGAAGTAGAAATCATAGCAAAGAAAAAAAAAAAGACAGCACTTGGCCAAACACCTGTTAAGGCAATACAACTTTGTGCAGTCACTATCAACAAGTTTCCCAGAAATGGGATATTTACACTAGAAACTCATTATGCAGGCATCCAACGGCATGAGTGTAAACTGGCGATGCACACATCCCTACTCTGTCATTCACTATGTGACGTGACCTCTCTGCTTCATTCCACATCCATAAAAGGCAGTAACATCTTCTGGAGGACTTTTTAAATGAGATTAAATAATGTACTTATTCACTCTGCACGAGTACACTGATCTCTTACCTCAGGCATTGTTCTATGACAGGGAATACAGCAAGATAGCACCCTCTGTGTCCTCAGACAGATTGGAGTCTAGAAGTGGGAAGACAGGGGTAAAGCGCCTCACCAGGTAACTGGTGAGGAAGGTCTCCTGGAGGAAGTGACATCTGCATGAGGCCTGGCTGACAAGGAGTGAGTGAGTCATGCAGGCTCCGGAAGCAGTGCAGCTGGAGGCCACACATTTCTGCTGTTTATAAATGACCCCATCTAAGGCATTTGTTTCCCAGCAGCCGAATGGACTGAGAATACGTCTGAGAAGGCTCCCCTCACTCAGCTGGATTTGAGCCACTGTCCTGCCTGCTCCTCTGATCTCAGTTGCCAGCCAGGGGATTAGTTAGTGTCCTAAGACTTTCAGGGAAGACTAAGCTTAATTTTCTCTAAACCCTAAGGAGAAAGATCATAAGGAGTTTAGGAAGACACAGGGAGGAGAAACAAAGAAATAATATTGTAGGGATCAAATAGCTCAAGTGACTTGCCAATTATTTTAACACCTTACACTAAATCATCTAAATATGAAAAAGAATAACCTACAAGGAGGTGATTCTTCATTAATTAAGACATCCAGATGTAAAAATCTCCCCACTACCACCCCCATAATGGGGATCAAACTCAGGACTTAGAGCTTGTCAGGCAGTCATGGAGCCACTGAGCTACTTTACAGGCCCTTTTATTCGGTTGAGACAACGTATCACCATGTAGTCCAGGCTGAGTCATGGTGGACCACTTGCCACAGCCTCCTGAGTGGTGGGATTATAGTCACGTGCTACCATACACAGCTTTTTTCTTCTTTTCTTTTTCTTTTTTTCTTTTTTTTGAGATAGAGTCTTGCCATGTTTCCCTGGCTGGTCCCAAATTCCTGAGCTCAAGTGATGCTCTTGCCTCAGTCTCACAAGCAGCATGTGCCACTACATCTAGAAAAATTGCCTTCATTTTATTTTTTACTTGGAGGTTCTAGGGATTGAACCCTAGGACTTGTGTATGTTTAGACAAGCAGTATACTATTGAGCTACCACATTCCCAAGCCCAAAATCTGCCTTTAAAACAAGTTTTTTTTGTTTTTTGTTTTTTAGCCAGGTCCACCTGGCTTGGAACTTATTGTAAGCTTGTGATCCTTCCACCTCAGAGTGCTGGGATTACAAGTGTGCAACACCATACCTAGCTAATTTTGGTCCTTTTTAAAAATATAGGGTCTTTGTAGTGCAGCAGGCTGACCCTAGGCCGGCCTCATACTCCCAGTAATCCTATAATCCTCCTGCCTCAGCCTCCCAAGTGCTGGAATTATAGGCATGTACCACCAGGCCCAGCTTTAATTTCTGCCTTTTAATCCAAACTTTTTTTAAATGTTTTCAAGAATATGAGTGATTACAAGGTTTTCTGTTTTAAAGATTTCAAATTGAAGGCTTCATACAGGATAATTATCTATTAAAAAAATATATGGGTATAAAAAAGAGAGAGAGAAAGGAGGGCTGGGGATTTAGCTCAGCAGTGCCCACACCTGCCTGGCAAGCACAAGGTCCTGAGTTCGATCCCCAGTACCCCCCCAAAAAAAAAAGAAAGAAAAAGGAAAAACATAAAGCTTTACCAGCAGCAGGTGTCTTCAAGGCTGTGCTTCCAGGTTTAAGGATCTTGGTGGGGGCCTTAAGCCCACTTGGCTTCAGCACGCTCATTTTTTGGTATTTCAGAGCTATTTCTCCTGTGCCTGTCACCACTATCTTTCCCCAACCATTGATACAACTGTGTTTCTACAGTGAAGTCAGTCTCAGGGTTAAATCTGCAAAGGGAAACATTAAAAACAATTTTAGACCTATATACAAAAGAACCTAAGAACAACAGTTATTATTAAAGCACATTTTACAGCATAAACTTTTCCTTACCATAAGCATCTCTGCACTGAACATAGGACTTTGGCTATAAAAAATGTTAAGATCCTGCTGAAATGGATTTAAAGGTGATTTACTATTCTAAAGATGAGCAGTGAAGGCTCTAGCAATATATCCACTGTGGTTTACATGAGCTGGTATTACCAGCTCAGTACAGTACCTACAAACCACATCAAAGAGGGGCCAGGAAAATCTGCACCAATCTTATGGGGGGAGGGCAAGGGAGCTTTCAGTTTTTAAGTCATTTACTTCAGGCATGGGATTTACCTCAGTGGTTCAGCCACCTGCCTCGCAAGCACAAGGACCTGAATTCGATCCCCAGTACCAAAAAAAAAAAACTATATATATATATACACATATACTTGCATATTGTTTAAATTGCATTACCACAAGTCTGTATTAACAGTATATTTTTTAGATCTGTAGAATTGTACAAATTGTTGTATAAAATTATGTGTACACTGAACTAGAGAAGGGTTCAAACTCTGGAAGAAAGATTCCATCTAGGAAGAGAAGTAAAACTATTTTTGTTCTGCTTAGAGAAACAACATATTCTGATTCCATCAAGATCTGGTTTAATGCTGGGCATGGTGTGCACGCCTATAATCCCAGCACTCAGGAGGCTGAGGCAGGAGGATCACTGTGAGTTCAAAACTGGGCTACATTGTGAGTTCCAGGTCAGTCTCAATCCAGGTCAGTCTCAACTACATAGTGAGACTAAAAAAAAAAAAAAAAAAAAAAAAAAAAAAAAAAAGATCTGGTTTAAATGTTCATTTTCTGAGCTCAAGCAAAATAATATCTTGTCACAGCCTCTTCACCTCCACAGAAAGTGCAAGGAAAACATTTCCAGACATAATATCTAAGAACAAAACAATCCAATCAAAGAGAACCACTCCCAACTATCTGATACTGTTTTGGGCAGTGAAGCAGTCTGCACTTTCCGGTCCTGTCTCCCCATAAAAATGCCAGGCCGGGCCGGGGATTTAGCTCAGTGGTGCCTCACAAGCACAAGGCCTCAAGTTCGATCCCCCATACCCCACCCCCAAAAAAGGAGGAACATCAGGCATTTACAAAGACCCTGGCCAGCAATGGCAGAAGAGCCTGCATGGCCACTGCAATGTGCTGAATGGTGCATGCCATGCTCAAAAAAATGTGACTGTGACCTTATCTTGAAAAAGCATCTCTGCAGATGTAATTAAACTAGAGACCTTGAGGAGAGATCATCCTGGGTTATCTGGGTGGGTCTTACACTTCCCATCAAAAAAGAGCACAGGTCAGCAAAAGTGGAAAGAAATGGGCTGCTGTGTCTAAACACTAAGAACTGCTGGTGCCCCCAAAAGCTAGGCGAGAGGCACAAGATAGATTCTCCACAGAGCCTGCAGAAGGAACCAACCGTATCAACAACATTTGATTGTGGATTTTTAGCCTCCAGAAGTTTAAGAGAACAAATTTCTATTGTCTTAAATCAACCAGTCTGCAATTTTTTTTTTTTTTTTTTTTATTTTTTAAAAAAAAAAAAAAAAAAAAAAAGAAAAGAAAAAAGAAAGAAATACAGCCATGTAAGTTTTTCTATTCAAAGATAATCAGAATGATGGAGGCATGGTTGTATGTGCCTGTACTCTGGGAGGCTGAGGCAGGAGGATCACAAGTTTGAGCCCAGCTTTGGCAAATTCATCTCAAAATACAAAATGGGGCTGGGGGCTGGGGATTTGGCTCAGTGGCCTTGCAAGGGCAAGGGCCCAAATTCAATCCCCAGCACCAAAAAAAAAAAAAAAAAGAGAGAGAGAGAGAGAGAACTAAAATGGGGCTGGAGATGTAGCTCAGTGCTAGGGCCCTAGGTTCAATTCCCAGCAAAGGGAAAAAGAAAAAGAAGAGATAATACAGAACAAAGAGAAATCAAACCAAGACAGCTGCTTCAGAAGCCTCACTCAGTAGTCTCTATGCTTACAGAGAGGGCCCAATGACAAAAGGAATTTTTTGTTTTGTTCTGAGAAAGGGTCTCACTGTGTAGTTCAAGCTTGCCTTGAACTCACTAAGTAGCTCAGGCTGCCTTGTACTCTCGTGATCCTCCTGCCTCAGCCTCCTGAGTCCTGGGATTGCAGGAGCCTAGCTCAAGGTGTTTTGTTTTTTTTTTAATGTCAGAGATCAGGGCCAGAGATTTAGTTCAGTGATTCTGCTGCCTGCCTGGCAAGTGAAAGGTCCCCATCCAGGGTGCCCCCCCCAAAATACAAGAAAGTAAATTAAATTGTGAAAGATTAGTTGTTGAGAGAAGATTCTGATTAACAGAAAAAGAACTAACTTGAAGATGGAAGTTGCCAATCCTGGTTATAAGCACAAAATTCCCCAGCTCCTCCTTACCCACATCATGACCACAGCCACTGAGAAAAAGTGAGGTCCAGGTGGTAGTCCAGGCCCCCTCAGAGGCTCTGATGCCTCTGAGCTGAGTCTGAAAGCACTTGCTTTATTTACTGTCCTCATACTGGCTTGGACACTATGACTGCCTTAGGATAGCCACGTCTCTAGTCTCTGCAGAGAAGGGTATTTATGTGTCCAAAGAAGCTGAGGAAGCTGGGAATGAGCCAAGCACAGAAATTCTCCGGGCAGTCCCTCCCCTGCACCCTGCCCAACATCATGGAGGGACAGGGTCAGGTAGGGAAGAACAGAACAGACAGAGGAGAAACAGGTCTCCTGGCAATAAGTACACTGACAACAAGAAAGGACAAAGTGCTCCTTAAAGTATTTTTCAAAGGCAAAGCAGCAAATTCTTGGGCTCAGGTTAAGTACACACGAGAGAAAAGTTCTGAAATCCACAATTAGTAACCAAGCTAACTAGGTGAGGCTCAGCCAGTCTCAAATCCTGTACCCAACATCATGAACTCACAAATGTACAATCTACAAACCTCAGCCCAAGACACAGAACCATGTGGGTATTATACACAAAAGAATGCTCACAAATTCAGTCCATGCCTTCCCTGTCTAGTCCTCATCCCACGGCTCAGTCCACCTGAGTTACCTGTATTCCAAAGCATGGAACTTCAATCAAAACCTAACAAAAGAGGAACTTTAATTAAGTCTGTTTCAATGAAAGAATTAGAATATCACCAATGTGAATTTTAAAACCTTCCAATTTAAGTTTCTTCATGCATTATTAACAGATGGGATGCCAGGCTTGCTTTAAAAAAGCAATTCGTGAAGAAACAGAAGAACCAAACCTTGGGCCTGGTACCCATAAAATGTAGTGATCAAGAAACAATATTTCTGCATGTTTCAAATTCAGCAAATGTCACATAAAACTAATTCCAAAAAATATACAAAAGAAAAAAAGGAGGGCCGGGGACTTAGCTCAGTGGACTTGCAAGTGAAAGGAAGGAAGGAAAGAAGGAAGGAAGGAAGGAAGGAAGGAAGGAAGGAAGGAAGGAAGGAAGGACGGACTTCTTACCTCATAACGGAGATATCTGAGTTTCTCATACTTGTATTCATCGAATCAAGGGTTTCGGACCAAAATAGGACAGAGCTCTCCCCCACCCTTCCAACATGTAAGGACCATAACACTGGATGTGGACATGATAGGTTACACATGATTTTTAGATGTATCATTATCCCATTTGAGTCTGATGGCACTGTGGATTAATTGCTCTTATTACTCCTTCGTACACAAAGAATACCTCAGAAACTAACAGGTATCTATTTTCTCATTTGTTAGGCCATGCAGCTCAGAAGCAGAGATGAGAATAGAGAATCCAAGCCCTTCCCACTAACCTAACATTCAAATTTAGGAGACGCCACACATCAAGATTGTGACACCACTCGGATGACCTACAGCTAGGTAGGACACCAAGAGTTCACACAGCACAACTTACAAGTGCCTTCCTTATGCCTCGGAATTCCACTGTGAAGATGGATGAGCAGATATCATTATGCCCATTCATGGATAAACAGAATCAGGGTTCACCAGGCTAGGGGGCTTTCACAAGTGCTGCTCGATTAAGGAAGCACTGCAGCTCTCCTGGGACCTGGTGCTCTGCCTAAGAGCAGCTCTCTGAAGGGAACCTTCCCACAGGAAGAAACTACTACACAAAACTACTATTCCATTTCCTCACTGGCAGGAGGATCTGAAGGAGGGAGAATGCTCTGGGAGTCTTAGTGAGAACTGAACACAGAAATCACAGGTCTGAGTGAAGAAATGGGAGCTCAAGAGGGAACTCCTAAGCAGCAGCAAACATAACATGGTTTGTGATCACAGATTTCAAGTGAAACTGAGACAAAGGTCACCATGGGGACAGAGGACAAACAAATTCCTGCCCTTGATACTCACTAAAAACATGATTTGTGTTTTCTTCTGGGACAGTCAGGGACTGCTTTTACTAAAAAAAAAAAAAAAAAAAAAATCCAGTGATTGTTCTTTTGGGCCTACAGATGTCCAATAAGGAATGAAAAGCAGAACCTTCATTTTATATCTGTCTCATTTTTACCTCAAGACTTGAGTCAGACCCCTGCTCAGCTCTGCACTCAGACCCATTCACCAGTTAATCATTTAGGGAGCCACGGTCTATAAAAGCCTGCAATCCAAGGCTGACCAGCCCTGTTTACATAACCACTCTTCCCCCATCAAGACCAGGACACCAGGATAAGAGACTTCAGGAACACTCGGCCACCTCCAAGGAAGCTCCACACAGGACAGAACAGACTGCCCTGAGGCAGAAACCATCACCTCATTAAGCAACAAGGATGCCCCCAGTCATCCTGTAACTGACAGGACTGACAGGCCCTAGTCTATTCCAACCTTTAAAAGCTGGTCCTGGGCTGGGGATTTAGCTCAGTGGTTCTATCACCTGCCTCCCCAGCACAAATTCAATCCCAGTTCAATCCTAAGTAACAAAAAAAAAAAAAA